AAGGGGGGGGGGGGGGGGCTATCAAAGCACAAAATGGTTGTGAGCTCCCGGGGCCCGAGCGAAAGTATAGATAACTAACTCTCTAAATGCCTATTTTCAGACTGTTGCTCATACTCAAAGCGCGAGGCTATCCGCCATTTCTTGGACTCGTTGGCATCGTATCACCAAATATATGCATATACATATGTGAAGAGCAAGCCCGCTTCCAATTCCCAACCAATTCCTGTTGTCATTTGCATTCGCGTGTGAGTTTTTGTGGTTTGGTTGTGAGAATGCTTCGCCCTACCTCGAGGGCAGACTCGGGCACTCGCAATTCCAGCAGCAGGAAGTATTTCACCTCCCTGAGGAGGCGCACGAGGAGAGGGTCGAAGTTAACCCTAAGCAGCCTGTCCGCCTCTCGCACCAGGAGAGGATTTTTCAGCTTGGCCTCGATCGAAGCCTGGATGCTCGCGCCCCAGGCCTCGATGTTTTGGTTTTCGAAGTCTGCCAGCTGCCCAACGAGGAGGGTGTAAGCCTTGACCAGCTCTCGAGCCTCCTCCGTGGCAAGCACCTGTGAGGGGGTTTCAGGTGGATCTGCTTGCCTCGGGGTGTTGCGACAAGGGTCGCTCTTCCAACACCAAGGTTTTGTCTCACAGGTCAAGACGCTGAAGGACGTAGTGTACAAGTGGGCATTTGCAACAGAGGTCTTCCACAACCGTTCATCGCAAGATCTAGTCAGTTTTGGATCACCGCATCGAAACATCAAAATGCAGCTGGCTACACACCTTGTTGTCGAATTCTGTGATCTTCGACATCGGCAGCGAGACCCTCTCCAACAGGCCTCTCGACCACGTTAACGCTCCGGCGACGGGGGGGAGATTGTTGGCAATCGGAGGGTCTTCGTTCTGCTTGATGAACAACTGCCAAACGATTGAAACCGGGAGAGAGAGGGCTGTCAGCAATCGTGGAGTGGAGTGAAAGCCAATCCTTCCGTCGTCCATTGGCATAGTCAGCACCAAAAATGCCGCCGTGAAACCTGCCGACGGAGAGTGCGTCAAGCCAGACCTGGCTAGCTTCGACACGGCTAATCGCCATCGTCGTCAACTACCAGCAATAACGATACATTGATGCGCCCGTCACGCATCTCGTTTCTGGCCGCACCCTCTCAATATTTTCCGATAAAACAACTCTCTGTGTCGCACAAAATCAGAATAGTTCCTGTTGCAACGCATATTGATTCATCGTGCGTACTTCAGCACACCAGTTACACCCGTGGAGACTTCGGGTTATGGTGGGTGCATCCACCGTGTACCTGCTTGACTGCGCCAACCTCGGTGGCGAAATCCTGCACCATATTCGCGTGTTTCCGCTGCAGCTCCTCGGCGATGGCGGGTCTGTGCACGAGGTCCGAGAAGCAGTCCAGCAGCCGGAAGCGCCCCCTCAGCGTGGGGCAGTCGTCGAACGCTTGCGTCAGAACAGATGCCAACCTTCTCTCCAGACTCTTCACGGACAGCCTGCATGACATATGACAACGTTCAGTGGATCAATGGGCCGTATAGATAAGGGATGGAAGTGGCTATTTTGACCAGGCGGGGACGTACTCAGTATATTCCTCGCCTCGACGATTCTAGAAGCTACAATCGAATTTTCCAGAATTAAAGCTGCAGTAATCCCTTCCAAATCGATCCGCTGTTCGCGCTGACACTGCCGGTTTTCATCATGCATGAATGTGTATGGTGCTCGAACCGCAGGCCTCCCTGTTTCCCCGTATCTCATGAACGCGGGACGGAATGTTTCTTGTATTGACTGACCAAACAGGGCGGGAGGGTGCTTTGAAGTATCACAACACCGTGAAGATGAAGACACTGAGGTCGGGAAAGTAGCAGGCGATTAACCACTAGCTCAGCGAAGCTCATACTGCAAGGGCCCGCACCGTCGGCGGAGTACCGCTTGTGGGGTTGGACACGAGGAGGGTCCGGACAGGGGTAAGGGGGGAAGCGTGGTAGAACACCAGTCAAGTGCCAACTTTGGTGGCACGGAGGAAAACATTTTCTGGCTTGAGGATCAGCAAGGCACAGAGTGAAGGAACTAAAAGGTCACAGCGGGCCACTGAGGTGAAGCCAATCAAAATAACAACAACGACATTCAGCGGTAGTGGCAACGGCATGCCTAACCTGAACGTCTGGTAGCTGCTTTCAAAGGCACCAGCTGCGTCAAGGTCCATGACGTCATAATCCACGTTCTTCACCGCGTCAACGGCCAGGCCAAAGTCCAGGTGAATCTGAGAAATCGAAGTGGTGAGCACCTTTCCCTTGGTCCCCCCGACCTCGAGGTTGCCCAGCTGTATGCGAAAAAAAATATCAGTAGGGCAAGGGCGAAGTTTGAACCTACATCACAGTACATACGGCCGGATGAACGCCCTACGGAAAAATAATTCGGTAGCGGTTCGTATGATGCCTTTCGTGGTAAGACAGTATTTTCCTGTTGCGAGATGCCGTGTGAAGTCTGAGCCACTCAAAGCAACCACATATATGATGATCAATCGGCGTGCACAACACCCAACAAGTACTATCAACAACAAGTCGGCGGACAGAAAAAACTATTGCATTTTCGTACCTTTTGGAACTGGGCGATGGTTACCGTCAGGTCCAAGACGTCGTGACAGCGCTCGAGAAACGCGTCCATCCTCGCGAAGACGGCGTTGTTCTGCACCCTCCAGGGGTTTGATGGACACTGCACAGCGGCTTTGGCTTTGTAGTCAAAGTATGTTGACTTAAAATTGCCCAGGACCTGGAAAAGATGTGTAGCACATGCTTCTATTCATATCAAGTTGCAACAAGGGCATGGATATCAGCGTCTCACCTCAGCTACAACGTTGTACGGACTCGTGGGGCGTTGAGACTGTAGAACAAGGGGCGCATCGGACCCCCAACGCGGCTATAGGTCGGAACTGCGAGCGGACGACGGATCAACATCTTTGTGGCGTTCCGCATCTTTTCGTCGCGTACGTTATGGTCGAAGGTGACCAGACAGGAGCAGAGGTTACGACCAAGACACTATTTACGCCAGGATCTACCGAACCGTTATGGAGTGCGACGATATCCGCCTTGCAGTACCTTAAGTGACGTCTCGAGGAGTTTTATCGCCTCCCTCTGTTGGTCCTGCTCTATCAGTCGAAAAATCTCCCCTCCGGCCAGCATGTCCGTGGCCCGCGCAATGAGCGTGTTACACATCTAAATGGGTTGGTCGGGATAGCAGACAACAACGGCCAGCAAACACACGCGGGTACGAAGAAAAATCGTGCGAACAATATCGTGTAGCCGATGATACATCTTCCTTGGAATGTATCCGCCTTGAACTTTGGTGGAGTTAAGAAGGAAGGGGGTTCCTACGTATCACATTTGCCATGCCCTTGTGCTCCTGTCTATACCTCACCTTGAAAAAGAGCACGACAGAAACGTGGGATCAACCACGAAATCACTTATGAAGTCAAAGGAATGATCATTTTTTTTGCTCTGCAAGCACCCCAAGTGATAGGAAGAATAAGAATCATTATCAAGTCTAACAAACTAGGAAGCAAACAACAATCGACGGTTTTACGAACGGCGTCATGCGTCATTGCTCGCACCGTCTGTGGATGCTGTCTACCTTGTCCTCAATATCCAGATGTTGAATGTACTCTACTCCGGTCCTGTTTGGCACAACCTCGAAGGGTCGGTTGTCGGCGTTACATGTACTGCGCTGTTAAGACAGATCCCCTGCTATTAGCCCGATGGCGTAGAATTCTTGGTGTCAGCGGGGAAGGTAGGTGACAACACGCACCATCCTCCAACGTTGACGCCCCGTATCTTCTTACTAAGGAAAGGGTGTGTGTGGAAGTCCAATCATTTGTATCGAGAAGGGTTCTAGAAAAAGGCGTTTCCAGCGCCACCATGACAAACTCCAGTGCAAACGTTGGGAAGAAAGGGTATGTGAATCGATTGATCCAGTCGATAGTCTTTGCGTGTGAGTCCGCGTGCACACAGCAGTTTCATTTTTATACGGTTCACGCCTCGTTCTCACCTCCCGCACGAACACGACGAGCCGCGTGCTGGTATTGTAGTACCCGGAGCTCTTCCACACGAGCAGCAACATGTGGAGCGCCGGCCGGTACAGTCCCGGCAGGTTCTCCGGAACGATCTCCGCTTCCAGCCGCTGCAGCCACGGCCGCAGCGGCCGCAAGTACCTGTTGGTATCGTTCGCTTCCGATCTAGCCAAGAAAGCCTCCTTGCAGAGCTTGGCGAAGGGGGTAGAGTAGGTGCTCTTGTTGCGGTCCAAGTACCGGAGGATCTTTCTGACCCGAACCGACTGCAGCTGGGCAAAGATGCCGTTGAGGTCCGCGGCCTTCTGCTCCCAGAAGTCAAGCTCTTCCAACGGACCCGGATGGAGTGGTGTCTTCTGCAGCTGCTGCCGCTGCTGCTGTTGGGATTGTTGCTGCTGCTTCCTGTCGATTGATGATAGCAAAGCCGCCTCAGGCTCCTGAAGGGTGATTTGTTCGAGTTTTTTTTGTAAGATTAGGAGACGGGCGAGAGGATTGGTACTCATTTTGGTGCTGGCCCATCGTTAATATCGTACCTACCACCGTTCCTGCACTAGTCACTTGCCAGCATGAGGCTCGAGAGTGCACGGGTGTGGGGGGCAAGGAGGTGGTTGAGGCTGTCACGAAGAGGGGTTATACATGCCATTGATGAAAAAAAAATCACCCGCCACACCCAAATTGCAAACGTCGCGTTCAATCGCAGCAAGATGGATTGAGAATGGTATTTTTTTCTCCGTAACCAGGTAGGCGATACTCCATATTCTACATTTTTCACAGCTGACACGTCTGTACTCGTTGCGTACGTTGCTCGTGAGTACTTCCCAGCTATTCATGGTAGAGTCCCAAAACGCATAACGGCCAACTTCACCGAACTCTTCCGCCTTCTCCCAATGGCTGCTGACAAACATTGGATTCATGCGCTCTCGTCGTCTGCCAGACAAAAACATGAACTTCGCGGGATTCCATTTATCGCACCTGTTTCAGAACGTTCTTGATCTGCTTGGTCCATGTAATGAGGGTCGACTCTAGTACATGCATTAGCTCCTTGTGATCGGTATCGTCCCCCACCCCTACTCCTGCCTCCTGTCCACCCGCATCACCCCCGTCCTCCGTTTGCGATCGTCCGGTGCGAGCAGATCCGTTTCCATTTTCCCGACCGCCACCGGCTTGACCAACCGAACCCGCCGATGCTTGTAGCTTGCTGCTGCCGTTGACGGTCGACCTCGCCTGAGGGTTGTATGAAGGGGCCTTCTGTCCCACGGGCGGGGTGTTTTCCTAGATAACACCGAAGCGAGTATCAAGGGCAGAGATCGCATGACTCCGAGTCATGTTCGCCGACCTTAGCCGTTTGTGGTTTTGTCCTTGGTTTCTGGGTTTTTGTGGGTTCGCTTGTGCAGCCCCTTTGTAGGCGGACTGTCGCGGAAACGCAGGTCACTAGCACCCTACCATTGTTGCGGTGAAAACACGCGGCTTACCTGCTGCTGCTGCCTCTCGTCGCTGCTGCTGTTGGCGTACGAACCAGGGCCTGGTGGAAGTGGCAGACACGTGACCCCTCGAACTTGTCCAAGAGCCACCTGGACATTGGACACTAGAGTACCGAATGCGTCCATCACCTGTCATAATGATTGTCATTGTTGCCACGGGAGTTTGGCATTTGGGTTTAGGGAATGTTGGTGTAAATATGGGAGGTGCTCATGTGCGCCGATGTTGAACCTTTGTCCCATGGAGCACAGCTATACGACGTGTCGTAATCCTGTGCCTGTTATTGCTTCCTTGCGAGTGGAAATACCGGTCTTACGATTGTGGAATCAGGCTGAGTTATTCGGCGAAAGAAGGGATAATTTATTATAATGTTCGGGTTCGTGCGTTTGGGAGGGGGGCTCTCTTTTCCACCGCTTTTCCCTGGTGAAGAGAAGGAAGCAGAGAGGACGGACCCCTTGCTACTCATTGCTCCCATGGTTGAAGTGCCGGGTCTACTATCATAATACACCCGGCAAGTAGAACGAAGAACGATTTCCCAAAACTGCTTTTTTTACAGAGAGAAAAACGAATAGCCAGAAACTCAGGTGCAAGCAGCGGTACAATGATACTTCGAAGTGGGCAATATCAGCGAAGAGTTGACCCGACCGCGTGCATGTTCCACGACTCAATCCAAAACGTGGTGTCTTCACTCGGGCCTAATTCTCTGAGCCGAATGGTGTCGTTGCGGACATGTGAGACAGGAAAACTCGAATCCTGTTAGGAAAGTCATTGTAGCGGAAGTATTTTATCGCCTGGTCATATGTAGCCGGCCTCTAGGCCGAGTGTCCATGTGTCTTGATCGACTCACCTGACTGGAGACGACATCGCTCCAACCCTGATCCTCGACGTGGGCTCTCAGCAGCGCTGCGTAAACGGACTGCGTCACCCGGCATAAGTGCGGCAGCGCTCCGACGGCCGGTAGATCGCCCACCAAAATCTTCAGGTATGTTCAAGCGTTGTATTCATGTCGGGGGGCGTAAAAATCGTCTGTCGTCACCGGAGGGGGTGCGGCACGCGACCTCGCTTATCTTCGGGAAGGGGGAAACGTATCGGTAGACTTGACTCTACCTTGCTTAAAGTGTCGTTTGTGCCGTTCTGGATACACGCAGAATTGGTGTTTGGTGTGGGATTCTTGGGTGCCGTTGTGTCATAAGCCATGACAAGTAATGATATTTCCTACGGTAGTCTAATTCGATGTCGAACACGATCAACGCCAGAGTTCCACGTGCAGTTCAATCCTGACAGTCCAGGCTAGGAGAGAATAATAGTCTCTGCCGACTATTACATAACCACGATGTTTACACGAACATATGTATACAATTCCGCTCGCCTCTTGGTCAAAAGCATCGCCAGAGACAGCCCTTGGTTCCAGCTTGGCAGCGTATACACACATGCCCTTAGTATTTTCCGGTGGCTTCAACTCCACCCTGCGAGCGAAGAGGTAGCCCACGACAGTAGAGTAGTCGGGCGCCAGAGTGCGAACGATTGGTGCTGATACCTCACGGCCACAGAGGACCTCTGCCATACAAACCAAGCAGTTGCCGCTAGGTAGCGCAGAAGAATCTCTGCAGCCGATGCGCAGAAGAAACTCTGCACCCGATGTCGTCCACGATGGTAAAGTACCTTGGATAGATGTTCTATGGAAGCGCTCGGGCAGAGGCTTCCCAGGATAATATCTACTCCAGTCTACCACTCAGTGGCACGCGAGACACGGGCCAACATGCAGTATTGTTTGTCCCCGGCTTCAGCCAGTTGCATGTGGTACAACGGTGTTCTTTGGATCCATGCATTTCCCGGTGTATTGCACTCCCTAGGTGTCACCTCCTCTGTAAGTGCGACAACAGCAGGTTCCCACGCACGTGGTCTACACCCACGCACACCCGAGATCGTGCGCCCTTGACACCACACACCTTCCATGACTCTCATGATGCACTGTATCACCCGGGCCACTGTCTGTGAATCCGAGGTGAACTGGTTTGCTTTGGAAAAGACAGAAGACAGCGCTTCCACCTGATTTTGCTCACCTCAGACCACTGTTTCCCTTGTCCGAGAAAAAGTATAGAGCTGAAGGATCTCCCTGTCCCCCCTCCAGAAACGCGTTGACTCTTGTCAATGCCCCTTCGCTGTTGCCAAAGGACCGAATGTTCTGCGCGGTCACCTTGGGGAAAGAATGCGCCACCTTGCAACAGCAGCGACGAAACGTATGCGCCATTGTCGCGGTAACGATCGGGGAGGGTGTCTCAATGCTGGCTTCAAATACTCCATCCTGTACATCCCTTTTGAGATTACTGTATCTCGACCTGGTATGGTCCCTCTGCCTTCAACTTTCAAAGAAAAGTGGGATGACACCCCGCATGGCATCATCAACCCTTGTGCTCAATAGTGCAGCTCTCAAAGTCTCGGCGTCATGGCTGTGTGGCCAGCTTATATTTTAGTCCCGTGCTGGAATGCATTCACAGGGTGGCAGATACTTGTCGATTCGGGGGGGGGGGGACGCCAGCCTACTCGGGGTTCTATGATAGTGCTGCACACTGGAGTCCTCTGCACGACTGGAGTCCACTACAGTATAACGTATACTGTGGACAAGATCTAAATCTCAGGGTGCTAGAATGCTGTAGACTAGATCTAAAAGTGATGCTTCCACTTTCGCTTGATAACGAATTGGTCATCATGAGGTACGCTGCTTCTCGTCACGAGCGTTGTTTCTGGTTTCACTCCACACAACATTGATTCCGTGGGCACGAACAAGTACGCAAGTCTACACGTACAGTTGTTCTTCGTACGACATGTTCATACTACGAATACCACGCACTGGGTGTTCAGCCGGAGTTTGACATACCTGACCTAGAAGCCAGTCCCATCTTCGATCGACGCTGACAGGCAGAGCGCTTCCTCGCCTTCTAGATTGACCGACCATGCCAACAGCGAGCCGTACCTTCGCTGCATCTACCTCCTCGCCCTGTCCGTACTTGATCCTTGCTCATCCCTAACGACAAGGGACTTTTGCTCAAACATGCGGCGAGATCTTTTTTGCGTTCTTCCGCGCCCTTCGCCGAAACATCTCCGACAGATGTCGCTTCAGCGGCATTATCTTGTTTCCAAACTTGCGAAAATGAAACGCCAGGGAGTTCCATGAGAACCAAGCGGCGTTTTTTTCATGGCTCCCCATGGATCCTCCCATCCTCCTCATCTTATGTCCTGACCTTGTGGGTTATCTTCCCTGGTTCGCTTTCTGTCCCTGCACTCACGCCCACAAGAGCGAATGCGTGGTGAGCGGAGGTGAGTGGTGGAGGCAGGTAGAGTTTTTCCAGTGTAATGTTTTTCTGCCACGAGCGACAGGCCGCGAACACAATTTGCACAGACACCATTCTCGCGGAGAGAGTAGCACGGCACAACAGCGGCTACACTACACAGCAGTATGTCATCGTGCCGCGACGTAGCAGAAGTACCAATTTGAGCTTGTGCCTGGCATGATGGCAATGGTCCAGAATCTGCTTTGTGTTCGAATGCACAGAAATGAACAGTGCCGGCCAGAGCTCGCATTTTTTTTTTTCACTTGAAATCAAGGGGCTTGGCTAGGCACTCCTGCCGGGTAGAACTCCAATCCGTCGTCACACAGAAGGGTTCCTCTCCCTGAGGTCCCCTACCCAGTGCTTGGCTGCAATACTCACAAGAAATCGAGGTCCACACTTATTTTGGATTATATTTAGGAGAAGTTCTGTAGGGGCTCACACAGCCTCTCCGGCACAACGCTCCTATTTGAATCAATGTTACTGCTACTGCTTGGCAATAGACGATAGCCTGAGCTCAATGTTGAGAAGCGCGGCTGTAGGATTTGACCCCTAGATGTTTCGCATGAGCGGGCGCGCAATGAATGTGTTACAGTCGATCCTGGTTGACACTGATTCTGAAAACGGCCGGAAAAGCACCCAACAACCACGCAAGCTTGGAGATACATACAGATGGAATGTTTTCGCTTTGAGAG